GTATATATCTTCTATTGTTTGAATTAGTATCTTGAATATTCAATAAAAAATTATTTAAAGCCTTTATTCTCAATGAAGACAAAATACTTAACAACTAAGAGGGTTGGTAACCTTGGTAATACCTATAGATAGTTCCAGTCTGTCAATCAAAGTTACTATGGGAGAATGGATTATTATCCTCAGAACTATCTATTGTATAGATAAATATGGTATATTAATTATTTATTTCACAAATTACACACGTACATACAAAACAAACACTAAACACAGATATATTACGGAGGTTATTGCCTTCAAATTCGTTCAATATTTAACGATTGAGCAATGCAAGTGTGATGGTTTCTGCATTCAAACTTAAACTGTCGAGAACGTTTATTTTCACGAGAAGATATTTCTGTTATATCTTGTCGTCAAAAGTCGTAACTGCCCATCTAGTAATGCTTCCATGGTAAGTGTATTTGTGCAGAAAACTATACTTCTGAATAGTTTTACGGATATCTCATATTAATCTAAGATTTAGAAACAGATAGTTCGATTTTTTTGTCCGGATACAAACAAAACTGCCATCTGAACACGGTAAATTTATTTTGGAATTCTCAATCTCTAACCAGATTTTTTTTTATTCTGTTTCAAGTTTCAGAAGTACCCTAGATTATTTCGTAGTATTAATATACCTTTTTGTATTCAACATGTTTTTACTTGAATACAATTACTTAATTTGAAGTATGCTAAGCTTCTTTGTATCTTTTAAATCTATGCAATATATAGTTAGAATTTTGTCGTGAGAAATGAAAGATCTATCCGAAGCTAACCTTAATTGCCTTTGCCCCAGTTTAATACATTCGCTAAAAGTGTACAAGTTGTTTGTGGACCATTTAAGCCCCCGTCTTATATTTCCCAACCAATTTGTATTGAGAAAATGCGCATTTTTTGCTTAGGTCTCGGTGGCCAAGAGGTTTTGACACTTTCTCGGCAACTTGGGGGTCCCACGTTCGAGTCCCAGTCTGAAATTTTTTGAAAATTCTTCTTTTTTAGTCAAACTCTGTTTTAAGTATACAAAATGGGTCCAGGCTAATCCTGGCTAATCCTAATTGCCTTTGACCTATTTTATCCATTTGAAGCCATTTGCGTTTTTGGATTGAGGGAACGTTAACTTTCTTACTTCTGGATAAGACTGTACATGGTTGTTCAATCTTAAAGGTTACTGAGGTTAGAACTATTGTAACCAGGCAACTGTGCCGTTTTATTATTTTATTATTTAAGAGTCTTAGTCTTATCTTAGTCGCTTATTTAAATTATGAAAACAAACTTATGAATGTCTGATGTCGCTAGTCAATGGAATTATCTAACTGTGTAAAAATACAAATATTTACCGTTATAATACAGATGTGACGTCACCCTTTTGATCTTGGCGTACCATTATCCAACATGGACCCTAAATATTGATCTGTTTTATAAATGTATTGATTCAAATAGTATGTGATCACTAGTTATAATGATACATACATGTACGATGATGTGGTTTANAGCATCGATCTGAGATTCATATTTATAATGCACTACAATGTTCTTCACCAACAACACTAAATGTATTAATTTAATACATCCACG